CCAGAGGCCCAGAGAGGGCCAGCTCCCAGCCAGGGCTGCACAGCCAGGCAGGAGAGCCTGCTTTTATGTGCCCATCTCACTGCGGGGACAGCTGAGCTCCCCAGAGGCCCATGGGGACTGGAGCCCCAGTCCAGAGCGCACTCCACCTTCCCCCCAGGATTCCCTGTCCACCCCTATCACTGTCCTTTCTTCTCCCGCTGTCCTGCAGAATCTGTGCCTGCCGCTGGAGAAACAGCACGATGAGGAAAGGAAGAAGGAAGACGAGAGGTCCGAGACAGACACAGCTTTGGATTAGGGCCTCAGGGAGTTTGGGGGCCTATCCTGAGACCCCCCACCCACCCTGTGTGCCTCAGTTCTTTCCCTCAGTTGCACCAATAAAGTTTCTGCATTTGGAATAGGCAGGTTGTCTATTGCTCACTCACTCATTCATTCGTGTTGAAGATGCGCCCCTGGCTGCAGAAGCCCCTGCTGTAACCCCAGCACACATGCCAGGATGGACAATGGCACGTGGTGTGGGAGCCCAGCTCCAGAAGGTTCCTTCTGCAGGAGGGGGAGTCTGGGAAGGCTTTCTGAAAAGGGCATCTGAGCCAGTCTAGAAAGATTAGGAGCTTGGTTAACACCTTCTGTTCCTGCTGCAAGCCAAGGGTCTGAGATTGTAGGAAGCGGCTATAGGGTTAAGTCTCAGACTGACCTGTTGGCAAAGCCACAAACAAGTCCCAACTTAGAGGGCACAGCCCTCTTAGCATAATTAGGCTTGACCCTATGACTCTCCCTAGATCAGTGGTTCTCAACCTTCTGGCCCTTTAATTACAGTTCCTCATGTTGTGAACCCCAGCCATAAAATTATTTTTGTTGCAACTTCCTAACTGTAATTTTGCTACTGTTATTAATTGTAATGTAAATATCTGATATGCAGGATGGTCTTAGGCAACCCCTGGGAAAGGGTCGTTCGACCCCCAAGGTGTCGAGACCCACAGATTGAGAACCCCTGCCCTAGATCTTATCTAGGTAGCTAATGGGCTGCAGGAGATGTAGCAAGTGCTGACAAAACAAGTGAAACTCACAAGAACATTGTCCCTATGGTGACCACTACCTTGTTTACCTCTGGCTATAAAATAAAGGCTCAGCTTGCTGTCTGGGTCTCTCTCTGTGGCCTTAGCCAGGCACAGGAAGATCTACCTAGGTCCAGCTTATTCTCTTTGTCTGTCTTTTTTACATCCTTCAATACCACCCCCTCACCCCCCTCAGGCTCACTGAACCCTGCACTGTGCTGGCATGGCACATGAGAAGACACTGTTGTATGAGGAACATAGGGCAGAGGACCCACAGCGGGAGTTCAGGTGGGTAAGGGGTGGAGAGGACTCAGGCACATGGCACGGTGCCAGGCTTGAAGGATCTTATGGCAAACATCACCTTGGCCATCTGGGAGGTGAGCTTCTGGACCAGGGCCAGAGCCAAGACAGAGACAGGGGGAATGTTGGAAACACAGAAGCCACCAGAGGGAGGCAGGAAGAGTGGGAATGTGTCCCCAACAGGTCCATGGATTGGGAAGGGGGAAATGGCTGCGTCAACCTTCCACCCCACCAACTGCCTTTAGAAACCACAAGTCAAGTGACATAACACCACAAACTCTGGAAATGTTTTGGGGTTTTTTTTGCTTTTCCTTTCTTTCTTTTTTTAATGATCATTATTCATTCTTCTTCGTTTGCCCTCATAAGGAAAATAGATTTTCCAATGCCTCAAATATATAAATATCACTGATGCACACACATTCCAGAAAAGCTGAGGTACGTGCTGCTACGGGGTGGGGGGATAGGACACGGCCGGGTAGGTAGCTGGCCACTGGCCCAATTCCACAGGGATCCCCAGGCCAGAGCGGGTGTCTCGAGATGAGGTACAGAGACGGGCCATAGAGGATGGTTCCTGGGGTGTCTCCATCCCAGAGGCCCATGGGAAAGGCTGCTCCAATCACAGAGGAGCTGGGCACAGGTCATCCTGGGGGCCCGCACCCCAAGATATTCCAATGGTCCCGGAGGGTCCCACCTCCAGCCACATCTTTCCAGAGATGCTTAGGGCCAAGCGGCAGGTCCCAGGCTGGTGGCCAGGCTTGTGCCAGAGCCCCTGCCCCACCCCTTCTTATCTGGCCTCCTGAGGAGGCGGAAGCCCAGGAAATCTCCTCCGTGTAAGAAGTGTCCACCCGTACATAAAATGCATATTATTAGCTGGAGGTGGACACGTGCAGGACACTGCCAGGGACTGCGTCTGGGCAACAGGTGGCCCTGGTCCCGGCACCTCCTTCAGGGGCTGGTGCCTGGGAAGCGGCTTCTCTTGATGAGCAGAGCTCTCCCGTTTTGCAAACACTGAGACTGAGCAGCAGGGCCTGTGCTGGAGGGAGAACTACTCGTGAGGGGTCTGCATGGCCTTCAGGGGAGACGGCAGCAGGCCAGACGCCCACCTGTCTGCCATCTGACTCTGAACCCCCAGTACCATCAGAAGAGGCAGGAGCCCCTCAGGCTGTGATCAAGGACACAAGCCTCTGTTGCAGGCTTAATCCCCAGTAGGGGGCGTTCAGGAGGCAGCCAATCAATGATTCTCATTGATGTTTCTATCTCTCTCTCCCTCCCCCTTGCTTTCTAAAATGAATAAAATTATCATTTTTTAAAAATATAATGGATGAGCATCCAAAGTTGTAAGGACACCATAATATTACTTAGTGAAAATATTATTTGAATGGATAAAGATTTGACCCCATCATGTAGAAATGCAGAAGGGTGGTAGAGTTAGTAATGGCACAGGATTTCCTGAGCACCCACTGTGTGCTGGGCACAGCTCCAGGATCGGGGGCAGCTGGTGAAAGAGAACAAGCTTCCCACTTGAATAGCAGAGGATGAAGACGACACAGAAGTGATTTCCTGTTTCAGATGTGGGAGATGGTTCACATAATACACTTACTGAAAACAGACATTCAACTTAATGCCACGTGTTTGTTTCTTTTTTGGAAAATAGCCCTGCATCCAGGCCTGGGTTGGGGCCTCTCTGGACTTTTGGTCTTTCACAGTTGTTACCACACTCAACTGGAACTGAATCCATGTTTGCCTTCCCCCACCTCCTACACCCATCCCCCTTCCATCGCCCCTACACCCCAGGCTAGCCTGGGAACCTCCAAAGTTGCCTTCAGCATTTGATTTATGACTGGGTGCCTCTCAAGTCCTGGCACTCAGAGGGGCAGGAGTTGGATGAAACCGGGAGCACCTGCCCCTCTATGGAATCTACCAGCGTCACTAATATCACTCCAGCCCTTTCCACCTTGGCTTTGAGCAGCCAGACCTTTGGGCCCTGATCTCGAGGTCAAGGACCCGAATTAGACCTGAGCTTGGAGGCTTTACCTGGGGCTGAGTTTTGGGAAAGGAGGGAAGGTTCTGAACATAACATTTCCCAAACACTCACTGATTGGGCCACAGCGGGTCCCCAAGGCCCTGCCCACAGCTCATTATAAAGGTCACCGCACCCTCAGCCACCAGTACCTCGGACACTAGCGGCATCCTCCTCTTGCCATGGCGCTGCCCTGGGCCCTTGCAGTCTTGAGCCTTCTTCCCCTGCTGGACGCCCAGAGCCCGGCGTGTCCCAATTTCTCGGTGCCCATCACCAATGCCTCCCTGGACCAGGTGGGTGCCTGGGCCCTGAGCGCCATGGGAGCTGTCTCCCTCTCTGGACTCCCTTCCCTTGCGGGCTTGCGGTCAGCCTCTCCTAAGCGCTGGGGTGAGAACCAGGGCAGCCTCCAGCGGCTTCCTCTGTCTCCAAGCTCAGAGCCGCCTTGCAAAGTCCCTCAGCAGGGCAGCTGACTGGGTGGGGGCCGCCTGAGAGGCAGGGGTTGGGAGCGGGGTAAGGAGGTGCGGGATGGAGGGGGGTGAAGGCTGATTCCTAGACTGAGCTGCTGCAGCCCCACTCCTCCCCCGGGCCTCTGTCTCCTGATTTACAAAGTGGAAAGATCTGCCCGAGTCTCCTCCCAGGTGACTATCAAGGATTAGGCTCTCAGTCTCCATCACCTGCTCCTGGCTTCTCCTCAGATCTCTGGCAAGTGGTATTATATCGCCTCAGCTTTCCGCTTCCCCGAGTACAAGAAGGAAAGCTGCAGTCGGTGGGGGCCACCGGGGTAGGGGGTTTAGGAGGGGGGGTTAAGGGGGGCGGGTAAGTGAAGGCTGATTTCTAGAGTGAGCTCCTGCAGCCCAACCCCTCCCCGGCCTTTATCTCCTGATTTGTAAAGTGGAAAGATCTGCCCGAGTCTCCTTCCAGGTGACTATCAAGGATTAGGCTCTCATTCTCCATCACCTGCTCCTGGCTTCTCCTCAGATCTCTGGCAAGTGGTTTTATATCGGCTCGGCTTACCGCTTCCCCGAGTACAAGAAGGAAGCTAGCAAAATCCATGCAGCCTTCTTTTACTTCACCCCCAACCACACGGAGGACACGATACTGCTCAGAGAGTACATGACCATGTAAGACCCGCACATGGCCCTCAAGTGCCAGCTCAGCCCCAGCTGCAGCACAGCTTCTGGCTCCTCCTCCCAGCTGCCCAAACACCCTTAGCAAGCCCTCCCTGCTGCAGGCCTCAGCCTTCTCATCCAGGGAATGGGGCGGGGCTGACTCTAATTGCCACCTGACTCTCTCCCTCCAAGATTGTGACAGTCCACTTCTCCTTGACTATCTTACTGTTTTCTACTGTATTCTGTCTGGCTTTAGCGGGGACCAGTGCCTCTATAACTCCAGCAGCGTGACGGTCCATCGGGAAAATGGGACCCTGTCCAAATCTGGTGAGCCCTCAGGGAAGGGTTTCTGTGTGAGATGGGGGAGATGGTGGGTGGTCCAGGCCAGAGGAGGGGTGTGAGATGGGGGACATGGTGGGTGGGCCAGGCCAAAGGAGGGGACATGGGGGCTTTGGGCACAAAGACCCCTGGGGATGCCCACTTCTTACATCTCCATGGGCCTGCTGCCTGCACACTGAAGCAATCAGTCATAGCTGCCAACCTCTCTGAGCTCTTACTATGTGCCAGGTGCTGTTTGAAGTGCTTTCTATGAATGAACCCACTTTAATACTCACAAGCCACCCAAGGACATTGCAGTGATCAGCTCAGGAAATGGAGAGACAGGAGCCCCCTTGTCTCTCTCACTCATCCTGCAATTAGACCTGGACTCAACCCGAGGTTGGTTCCAGTCCTGCCTCATCTCCACTCTTTTTGTTTTTAACTATATTTCACTGATTTTCTTACAGAGAGGAAGGGAGAGGGACAGTTGGCCTCTACCCTGCCCTCCCTACACTCCTTCCCCCCACACACACACAGACATTCTCACCTGCCCCCTTGCTCCATCCTGCAGTTGACAAGCCAGAGGCGACCCCAGAGCAAATGCAACAGTTCTATGACTACCTCACGTGCATGGGCATGGACAAGTCGGAAGTCATGTACACGGACCGGCCAGGGCCCTCCACTCTTTTTGTTTGTTTTTTGTTAAACCTCACCTGAGGATATTTTCCCACTGATTTTTAGAGAGTGAAAGGGAGCGGGAGGGACAGAGAGAAAGGAAACATTAAAGTGAGAGAGACACATTGATTGGTTGCCTCCCACACCAGGACTGGGGATTGAGCCTGCAAATGAGGTACATACCCTTGGCCGGAACTGAACCCTGGGCCCTTCAGTCTGTGGGCCGATGCTCTATCCACTTAGCCAAACCGGCCAGGGCTCAACCACTCTTTACCCTCTGGGACGTGGCAGCCCACTCATGTCTCACCATCACCGCAGAGAAGGCCCATCGCAGGAACACACAAATGCCAATGGAATTGAACCAACTCCCCAGGCTCCTCTCTGAACCTCATTGTCCTCATCTGTAAAATGGGGAGAAAGGCCCAGAAGGCCGAGGTACAGAGATGGGCCATGGAGGATGGTTCCTGGGTGTCTCCATCCCAGAGGCCCAAGGGAAAGGCTGCTCCAGTCACAGAGGAGCTGGGCGCAGGTCATCCTGGGGGCCCGCACCCCAAGATATTCCAATGGTCCGGGAGTGTACCACCTCCAGCCACGTCTTTCCAGAGATGCCGACTGCCAAGCAGCAGGTCCCAGGCCGGTGGCCAGGCTTGTGCCAGAGCCCCTGCCCCACCCCTTCTTATCTGGCCTCCTGAGGAGGCGGAAGCCCAGGAAATCTCCTCCGTGTAAGAAGTGTCCACCCGTACATAAAATGCATATTATTAGCTGGAGGTGGACACGTGCAGGACACTGCCAGGGACTGCGTCTGGGCAACAGGTGGCCCTGGTCCCGGCACCTCCTTCAGGGGCTGGTGCCTGGGAAGCGGCTTCTCTTGATGAGTTTGCAAACACCGAGCCTGAGCAGCAGGGCCTGTGCTGGAGGGAGAACTCCGGTGCCCTCCCGCTGCCCTAGAGGAGGCTTGGGGGTGGGGGCACTCGGCACCTGGTCGGGCTGAGGGGGTGGTGGGGGCTGAGGTAGGTCCTCCTGGAGGCGCATAGAACCTGAGGAGAAGAGGGAAGTGGGCTGTTAACCGCGGAGAAGACTGGGTGCAGCCGAGGAGCGCCGGGTTTGTAACCAACCCAGTTCTGAGCCCAGCCAGGCCGCTGGGCCCTATGTTCTGGGTCTCAGTTTCTTCACCTCTAAAATGGGAACAACAGGGTCGGGCAGGGAGGGCGTTTATGGGCGCGGCCCCACGACCCGCCCCTCCAGGGACTCTTGGTGGCCGGCGGAGGGCACTGAATGGAAGCACCAACGGCGGAGGGCACCATCAACCCTCACCCCTACCCCACCCCACCCCGTCCCCCCCTCCCCGC